CCTTGGTGTTATGAGCACTGCACTCTAACCAGCTGAGGTAACTGGCCGCCCCTCACTGAAGGGTTTTAACGAGTGACATGGTCAGATTTACAACCTGCCAAACATTATGAGCTGCCTCTTCTGGAGCCTGATCTAATTCCTCAGCACCCCAACACCCAGAAGCAGAGAGGCAGGATTAGGCGGGAGGCTGGGCCCTGTACTACACAATCATATCTCAGGAGTGCCATCCAGACAGTGACCTCTCATTCCTGTCAGATCTGCAGAAGCTCCTGGAGATGGTTCGGGAAGAGGCCCGGCGGACAATGACGATGGATGATGGGACACACAAAAAAGTGCCCAGGTATGTTCTCTTGATTCCCAGGGCAAATAAAGGATATCAAAATAATAGCGGTGACATGAACAACAGCAGTTCCCAGTTACTGAGCATTTTCTCTGTGACAAGCACTGAGCAATATACATTCTGCACGTGTATCATCTCTCCGGGTTCTTACAACCACCCTACGACGGTAGGGTACTAGCATCTTTAGTTTACAAATCAGGAAATGAGGCTCAGCGAGCCAAAGGAACTTGTGCAAGGTCACCCAGCTACGACTTGAACCCAGATCTTTCTAATTCCAGAAACCATTCTCTACCACTCTGCTCTGCAGCTTCCCAGAGATTCTCAGGTCATGCATTCGTTTAGTTAGTGAATATTAACAACTGTGCATGGACAACGTACTAATTACAGAGGCAAGCATTCTGAAAGGAAGGCCCATATCTATGAGAGTAAATAAATAATAGGGGTAATTATAACCTGAGTTCATCTGGGGTGGGAGTGGGGATCAGACAAGGTTCCTCCACAGAAGAAACTTGAAGCTGAGATTTTGAATGAAGCATGAGAAAGAGCTAGCCAGCTGAAGTTGGGGGGCAGGGGGCAGGCAGGGGAACAGGCTGAACATTACAGGCAGCAGCATATGTGCAAACATGGTCAAAACGGACCATGGCACCTTCAAGGAATTGAAATGCAGCCAAGATGGGTGGAAAGAGGCATCGGTCTGTCTGGGGACCTCAGGAGGCCACCGCAAGGATTCTGGGGTCTATCCTAGGAGCAACAAGAACCCTTTGACGTGTCACGTCGACCACCAATGGGATTGGCTGACGGTTATCAGACTTGAACCGGAAGTGACTTCCATCTGGTGGGAAGCCTGGTCCACAGCGCTCCTGACCTCTACAGGCCCCGGGATGCACATGGGCTGGAGCCAGAGTTCCCTTCCCAAGTGCTGATCCCTCTGAGTAGGCAAATTATTTCCTGAGAATAAATGAGGCCCAAGAAGAGGTTCATCATTGCCTTCAGCCTGCTGAGATGCCGGCTATGACTTATTGGTTATTGTTATTACCATAATTACAGTTCACCCAGCACTTTCACATGCATCACGCCCCGCCCCTGCTTTTAATGATGAATGTGTCAGCAGCTGCCTCAGCTCGCATCGGGGCTCTGGAGGGTGGCACTTGGCAGGCACTCGGAGACAATGCTGGCCCTTAAGGCCCTGGCTGCCATCCCTGATTGATCAGCATTAGACACAGATGATAATGACAAAGCATCACCTCCACGAGGCTCCTTCCTTTGTAGGAACTCACAGCGTGATCACTAGCTTTGGAGTCACACTGCCATGGGTTCAGACCCTGGTACCCTTGAGTAAGTCACTCAGCCTTCCTCTCGGCCTCAGTTTTCCCGTCTGTAAAATGAGATTGTGTAGCATCAAAGCATTTGCCTTGGAACCAAAGAGATGAGGGTCGATCTCTACTCCCATCATTTCATTGCTGTGTGATGTTGAGCAAGTCGCTTCACCTCTCTGAGCCTGATTCCGGCTCTGTCCAATGAGGCCCATTAACAACCTATCCCAAGGAGTTGTAGCGGGGATTAAATATTATCCTGGTGAAGTATTATTGTTATGGGGATAATGTCTAGCTACTTCAATGAGTCATTTCAAACAGTTAGCGAGATCATGTATTTAACATATTAGAACGTGCCTGGCATTTTTGTAAGCACTCGGTAAATGGCAATAGCGGTGATGGCTGCTACTTTTATTTCACACATAGTGTCCCCCAGAGTCTTGGCAGCTCCTTGGTGAGACAGGCTTATTACCCATTACCATCGTCCCATCTCACAGATGGAAAAGAATGGCGATGGCACAAGGTCGTCAAAGACAAAACCACACGGGAACCTGGTTCTCACAAAATTCATCACATGGCCTCTGCCTGCACTTTAGTGATAAAATAACCATGGTTACAGAGTAAGAACCCGTTCACATTTCCCATCCTCCTCATTTCCTCCGGGAGAAAAATCTCCCTAATCTCTCACCGAGGCAGCAGATACTGAAGGCTTCTTTGCGGAGCTGCAGAGAGACAGGAAAAGCCGCAGCTTTTCTAGCTTTTCTTCTGCCCCACCTCACTTCACAATCTGGATTTCCTCTTCACTTTGGACATCAAATCTGCTCCCATCAAGGCTGACATAGAACATGGGGGGTTTTTAGGAACCTAAAAGCCAACCTGCCCAGCCCCCAGCCTCAAGGCCAGACCTCCCTGTATCACCTACCGTAGTCCATTGGGCTGCTATAACAGAATACCAAACACTGGGTGGTTTATAAACAACAGACATATATATCTCCCAGTTCTGGAGGCTGGAAATCCAAGACCAAGGTGCTAGCAGATTTGCTGTCCAGGGAGGGCCCTCTCCCTCGTAGACAGCTGTCTTCTCACAGTAACCTCACATGGCAGAAGAGAAAAGCTAGCTTTCTGGGGTCGCTTATAAAAAAGGCACTAACCTCACTCATGCGGGCCCCACCCTCCTGATTGCGTCACCCCCAAAGGCCCCACCTCCTAGCCATCACCTTGGGGGGGGCTCAGGATTTCACCACATGATTTGGGGAGACACAAACGTTCAGACCGTAGCATCGTCTAGGAAGATGGCCTTTTCTTAAATTCCTCCAAGCAGTGTTTTCCAAATGTCCGTGAAGATCAGAACCAGCTGGGGTGCTCGTGAAAAAATACAAATTTCTAATCTCATCTTAGACCCACTGAATGAGACTCTCTAGAGGAAACTGTATTTTTTAATAGGCATTTTTTCACGATGTGCTGAGAAATTCTAAGGTTTCAAATGTGCTCTCTCTGCACACATGAATCAAAAGTGCATGAGAGAGAGTGTGAGTGTGTGTGTGTGTGTGTGTGTGCGCGCGCGTGCGTGCGTGTGTTTGTGTGGTTTTAAATGCAGCTCTGGAGTGAGGCCCCACTCCAGGCCTAATGTATCCAAATCTCTGGGAGCAGGGCCCAGGAATCCGTATTCTTAGCAATCGCCCCAGGTGATTTCTATGCCCCGTAGAGTCTCAGGGGCCTTGCTCCAGAAAGAGAATTCTTCATCCTCCTGCAGATAAACTGCCTCAGGAGCACCGCAGGTTTGGTGCCTTACTAAGAAACTCACCTTGCTTTGCAGTATCTTGTCAATGGTCAAACAAACCAAGAGCGATTCTGCCTATAGAGACATGCAGACCACCCGCAAATCAAGGTAGGAAGGCCTGAGGCCCACAGCGGGTGGGTTGGGAGGCACCCCCCAGTTACAGGGGCTATGGCAGAGATGCTCCTCACCAAACTGTGGTAAGTGGAGAGCGGGAATGGGGGACTTTTTCCTTCTTCACTGGACATAAGCCCCTTAATTCTCGGGGCTGGGGGGTGAGTACCTAGACATTGCTCCCCAACAACGGTACACCCCACAGTTAAAATCCTCCAGTAGTGGAGGGATGGAGTAGAGAGGATGAGTTACAGGACTAGTCCTTCCCGCTTTGCTTGGGTGACTTGTAATGAGGGAGGGGAGGTCTGCCCCCATTTCATTTATTCATCTCGGGAATATTCACTGATCCCCACCCTGTGCCAGGGATGTGCTAGGTTTGGGGGATTCGGCAGCAAATAAGACAAGATTCAGTCTGCCCTCATGGATCTCACTGTCTAGACTGGGGTTACAACTGTTTTTTATGCCATAAACCCTTTGACAGTCTGAAGAAGCCTGTGGATCCTTTCAGAAAATTGCTTTTAAATGCATGCTGTAAATTACAAAGGTTTACAAAGAAATCTATAGCAATAGAGACTACGATAGTAAAATCAAATTCGGGATGTAGTAATCTATGAGCCTCTTCCACGAGGCACCGTACAACAAGACGCAGCAGCGGCTCTAGTAACTACTGTAAGTTTGGATTACTATCGAGTGTAAATGATTTTTCAAAATAGCTCCCGCACTTGTAGTGTGATGTGCAAATATCTGTGGCTTCCATTTCTGCTAAAGGCTGGTTAAAACAAAGATGTAACCTTGTTCCACCTGCGTTTGTGGACTCCTTGAATCCTGCCCATGGTTAAGAATCTCTGGTCTCATGGGGGAGTCATGCATTTGTCAAATAACCCCACAGGCTTAGCCATATAATCATGATGAGGGAAAGTGTTCTGAAGAAGTATGGAGGGCAGGGTCCTAACCAAGACTGAATCTGACATTTAAGTTGAGACTTGAGGAAAATAGAAGAATTATCTAGCCTGTGACTGGGAAAGGTGGGAACAGTGTTGCAAGCTGAGGGAATAGCATGTGCAAAGGGCCTGCAATAGGAAGCAACTTAGAGGCACTGAGCAAAAACCAGTATGGCTGAAAATCAATGAGAGTCAAGGAAAGAGGAGACTGAGACAGGCAAAAGGGTCTTTTTTGTTATTTTTGTTTGTTTGTTTGTTTGTTTGTTTATCACAGCTAATAACACTATTTCCCTCACCTCCCACCTTCTCCCCAAGTCACACAGTCAGCTCTAGAATAGAAGAGCTCCATCTACAGGAGAAAGGTCAAAGCCAACATGTTCCCCCAAAGGATTCATTTGTAGGGGTCGGAGCGGCTGGTTGGAATCCAACACATGGCCTTCTGGGTATTAGTACTGGGGCTCTGCGTCCCAGCTGGGGGATAGGCATTTGCTCCATCACCTGCCAGGCCTAAGGCCTCTAGGTCCCAGTCCCATGAGCCTCTGGGAAAAGCAGCAAAAGCCATGACCTTTCCTATGGAGAGGGGTCTGGGAAAGCACCAGGCCTGCCTCCTTAAAAAAGTCCCAGATAGGGGTGGCCGGTTAGCTCCGTTGGTTAGAGCGCAGTGCTCATAACACCAAGGTTGCTGGTTCGATCCCCACATGGGCCAAGGAGCTGTGCCCTCCACAACTAGATTGAAACAACTACTTGACTTGGAACTGACGGGTCCCGGAAAAACACACTGTTCCCCAATAAAAAATAACAATAATAAAAAGAAGTCCCAGATGTCACAAGGCCAAACGAGAAGGGCTAGCTACACATTATAGGGGTGAGAAAAACGGTCTTATCCTCTAGAACCACATAGATAAAGCAGTCAAGTCAGTTTTTGAGACATTTGGAAGAAGCGAAGGAAGACAGTGTGGGAGGGAAGGTGCTAGACCCTGGTGCTAAAGGCCCAGTCACTAAAGGAGGACCTGAGAGCAGGCATAGAGGAGGGATGGGCATAAGCAAGGGATCTTGTCCCGCTCTCACCAGGAACGCCATCCAGGCAAAGTCACACGAAGCAGCAGCCACTCAAAGAATTCAATCAGCCCCATGTAGAAAGGGTCGAATGGAGGGATTAGTTGATCAGTCACAGATGAGGAAGCTGACAATCTAGAGTAGCATTACTTGCCCACAAGCTGGGAGGTGGTGGTGCCAGGGCTGGGCTCTGAACCCAGCTCTGTCTGCCTCCAAAGTCAAGTGAAATGGGTGTTCAGCTCAAGGATCCAATTTAGAGAAAAGAATCCTTGAATGAGGAGGCAGTCTGGGGTCAGGAACGCCCAAGACAACATGACAAGCAGGACTCAACCATCCCTTCCCCAACTCGGCTCTCGGCCCCAGGTTAAGTGCTGATGGTTGTAGACAGGAGGATGGATGGGGTCCACAATGAACTTGTCCTCCAGGGAGAGAGGCCAATTTTATACAGATGAAACTGGGATCCAGAAAAGATGTCATCCTGCCAACAGGCAGAGGCAGAAGAAGGTTAACGGGGGACTAGAAAAGTCAGAACAGGCAAAACTTGCTGTAAGCCATGAAACATTGTAACATTTGAGTAGGTGGAAAAGAAATAAGGACTTTCCAGACAGAGGGTATGGTAGGAGCAAAGGTGAAGAAGGGGGAAAATACACGCGGAGTTAGTTCTATGACTGGTGCTTTCATTGGAACCTCCTCCCTTAACTGAATCCTGCAGGCTAGCAGGGGGACCCTGAAGGTGCCCTTTTTGTGAAAATCAGGCTCCAGGCAACCTGAAACCATCCCTTTGTATTTCAGTGACAGATCCAGCAGTACAAGTGGAGAAAGCCACAGCCAATCAATCCAGAAGAAGTCTAAAAGGTAAGCAAAGTGGGCAATGGAAGGACCACACCCTCTATCTTCCCAGGGATGTGGAACCAACCCAAGGCAGACCAGACTCCCTGCAGCCACAGACACTGCCAAAGGACAAGGGACTCTCAGGGCAAGGGGCTCATGGTCAAGATGCCCAGCAATAACACAGACAATGGCGACAAATTCCTCCTGGGTGCCAGGCCCTGAGCAAAGCGTTCCATATTCATTAGCTTGCTTATTCCTCCAAAGCAACACTATGAGGTGGGGACATCATCCCATCTACAGAGAAGCAGACTAAACAACCTGGCCAGTGAAATGTCTTGCCTGACTCACATAGCTAAGGAGGGTGGCACTGGAGTTTGAACCTAAATCCCCCAGCTCCAAATCCCATCTTCCTCTCGTGGTCCTGAACATTTGCTGGGCTCAATTGACCCAATATCTCATGTTGGCTCATATAATAAGGCCTGCACCCACGGCCTGACGTTGTTGAGAAGATCTGTCCTTCGTACATCCAGGGGAATGCTGGGGGAGGCTCCGGAGCGGCCCTCCTCATGGGCCTGTCCCCTGGGCCTGATCTCCCAAGCCCTTCTTACCTGTGTCTACAGCCGCACCAACCGTGACATCAGCCACTGCAAGAGTGAGGTGTGTAGCACCATGAGGGCCAAGTTTTACAGCGTGGCCCAGGAGGCCGGCTTCTGTCTCCAGGACAAGATGGAGATCCTTATGAAGTAAGGCCACTCGTATATCTGTTCACTCAAAGCCCACTCGATGCCAAGGGCTGGGGCTTTAAGAAAGACATGTTCCCTGCCCTGAGAGAGCTTACAGCCTCTCCTGGAAAATATAGGCAGAAACAAAATAAGTGAATTAATGGACAGGTAGAAATGATAATCATTGCTATACAGGCAGAGAGCAGGGTGCTATGAGAGAAAGAAATCATGCAGACCTAATATCGGTTGGGTAATCTGGGAGGACTTCTCTAAGGAGGTGAGTTGAAGGCTTGAAGGAGCCCTGAAGGATGAGGAGCAGGTGGTATGATAAGAGGGTGGAAGGACATTCCATGCAGCAGGAAACGTGCATAGAAAGTCCTAAGGCTGAAAGGGACATGGAAAATGTGAAGAGGACAGAGAAGCGGTGGGTTGAGAGCTGCATCGTGCACAGCCATAAATGGCGTAAGTAAGACTTGGAACTTGATTTTAAGAGTCCAGGGAGGAAATTAGAAGCTTTTCTATTCTGACAACCCAAGAACTGCCTTCCTTCCCAGCATACCCCTTGATTGCAGTGACCATTCACCCCAATGAACTCAGCCATTCAGTGACGGTTGAACGGTGACCCTTTGCCCTCTCAGCATGCATGGACTGACTACCTGCTCGGGGCCACGGGCTCAGAGATCATTTATCCCTGCTTTCCAGGAGCTCCCAGCCTAGTGAGGGAGACAGACAAGTAAATGTGCAATTACCACACAGGGTGATGAAGGCGAACAGGGGAGTGAGCAGGGGGCTGAGGGAACACAGGAAAAGGATGTCCTGCCTAGCCCGTGACAGCAATCAGAAAGCTCTTCCCAGGGGAAACAGCATTTTCAGTTTAATAAAAACAGATGCTATTTCCAGGGCACTTACTATGTACCAGTCATGGGTGTTAAGAGCTTTGTGTTTATTTATCATTTAGTCCTAACAGCAAACCTATGGAGTAGGTGCTATTAGACCCATTTTATAGATGAGAAAAGTGGGCTCACAGACGTCTCTAGTCAAGGTCACAGAGTGGTTAAGTAGAAAAGGTGGAACTCAAAAGGCGGAAGTCACACAGGAAAAATAGGAGGGAAGGGAGTTCCAGGGAAAAGCAACAACAAAGTCCCAAAGGCCAGAAGGGGCATGGTGGACCAGGATCTGACAGTATAGCCAGGTGTGGCTGGGACTTAGGTTGCTTGCAAGGTAATCAGAGATAGAGGCCAGATCATAAAAGGTCTTACTAGATGGGCTGTGGAGGTTGAACTTTATCTCAGAGACTTTGATCATGAGCCAAAGCATAAAATGCTGGGAGGAAATGGATGGGAAAGATGGAGACGAAGGTGGAAAGTGTTATAGGAGCCGAATAATCCAGAGCCTTAGAGGGCAAGTTACTCAGAGGGCTTTATTCTGACTAAAATGGGAAGCATTGAAATTCATATATAGGTGAGTGATATGGTTATATTTATAATATCAAGTCTCCTTGGAAAGATAGGACATATGCACAAAATGCTAAGGGGAGAAGGGAAGAGAGGAACCAATATGAGTCAAACACCTATTATGTGTCTGGCGCTAAGTTTGGCACTTGACACACATTATATTATTTAATCCTCACCTCTGAAAGCTAGGAACCATTATTATTCTCCATTTTACAGACGAGAAAGCTATGTAAATACAATCAAAAGTAGACAGAAAATGAGTGCTGACTTTTTAAAAAGTGACTGGATTTGGCAGGGAACGAACATTTCAGAACCTTGGAGAGAGCTGTATCCTCCTGCGGACAGAGCTCGGCTAAAAATTAAAGAGTGGCTGGGATGGTTAAGGAGGATGGTTAATGAAAAAGTATTTAAGTCAGATCTCGAAGGCCAGCTAGGATGGTAAAGGAGAAAGGGATCTAATTCTTCTTCCTCTTTCTCATACAACCTGTGATACAGGCGCCAAGAAGAGAGAGGTCTCCAGAAGTTCCATTCTTTTGTCCTTGTCTCGAATTTTAAAAAGGATATAGCAAAAATGAGACATCAGGTCTCCACGGTAAAAGGAGATGCAGATGAAATTGCAGACCACTGGTAAGGATCCTGAGAACCAGATAAGATGGTCCTGGAAGCGGGTGAAGGGCGGGCTGTTGTTACAAAATCACATTTGATCCCATTATCCTTTAAGACATAGTGAAGCCTCACTCCAAAACTGTCCTTGGCCACCAATATGGCCCGCCCCCCAAACAGACTATATCCAGAGCACAATCAGGCAAGAACCCCTCAGTTCCTGAACCACAGATAATCCAACCAGCTCTGTTCCCTATATTTACCTTGCGTTTGATTCAGACTTGCAAACAAGGACCAACTTGCCAGCCCCTTTGGGAGAGGCAGATAAGGCAAACCAACCTGAAAACTTCCAGAGTTTGAGGTCTCTGGGGTGATCAGTCTATTCCCCAAACAATTTAACCCCTCAAGGATACAAAACAAGGCAGGTATATCCTGGGAACACTGCGCCCCAGCACAGGGCTGATAGATAACAAAAAGCAAGTGA